CAACTCTATTACTATGTAAAATGGGTCACCCTCACCATATTTTCTGTTGCTAGTAGAGGCGCCTACTACTGAAAAAATTATAGTTTTGACTGTGTTTATATAGAAATAATTACAAGGTGTGTGGAGCCTAAGGAGGAGTGTGTAAACAAGGGTTTTAGAGAAGAACCTTCACTCTGTGCATTAAAAGTAAGCCTGTAAGAAGATACCATTTAGAACTCAAGTTCCATGGCAGAAAATCCTCTTCCTGTCATTCAGGCTACATCACTGTGGTAATATTGAGGGTTGGGGGCTGCACTGTGGCTCTAAGTCTGGGAACTCTGCTTCCCTGGCTGGCTGGTCAGCGAGCAAATGAGGAGAAGAAAGGCTTCACAAAGGCTACTGTGAAGAGCAAGGAAGCCTTTGAAAAAGTGTCTCATTTTCTGCTACTTTTTCAAAACTCTTTTTCCTTTAGAAAGTCAGTCTTTTCATCTAGAATATGTATGCATTCAGATTATTAAAGAGTTGAACATGAAGGCTATGTGGAAACAGATGCTGTCTTGTCGTGCACATACTACACCTTCCTGGGTCAACTACTATCTGTCCCTCCCAAGACAAAAACCTTCAGGAATTTTAAGTGGAATTTCCATTAATACTCCAAAGGGGAAAATGTGGGTCATTTTAAATATTGCACTTATTTCAGATGCAGCTCTTTGGGGCCCTTCTTGCTGGATTACTTAGAGTTTTTGAGCTGTAAATGAAAGTTAGATATACTATGTAGTTGCTAAGACATTTGTAACTTGATTGTGAGACATTCAAATAAAGATTATCTGGGATTTTTAATGTACTTGACTTTAGCCCATCTTGAGCACACTCTAAATATAGCGACAGAGCAAGAGACCTTTTATCAAATGGTGCTTCAGGTCAGCCTAGACTGAAACCAGGTGTTGCCTGCCCAGGAATGAACTCCTTTGTTCTTTCTTCATAGTCCAGTTCCCCTTATAGGAAAAAATAGAGAGATGACAGGTAGCTAGATAAACAGATGATAGATAGATAGATAGATAGATAGCAAGATTAGTGAGATTAAAAAAGAGGAATGGAAGAGTGCTAATATATTTAATAAGTACCCCCGAGGCCACATGGTTTACAAATTCATATATGTTTAAATTACATTAAGCATTCTGTATGTAATTTACGTATAATATGTAATTATATAAGACATGTGTAATTCATATAGTTCACAGAATAATAAAAGAGACATCTCCTCTATGTAGATGAGAAAATGAGGCCCAGAGCATGAAAACTATCTTACACAGGCACACCCCAGAAATAATGGGGTGGGTTATGTACCTCCACACTAAGAGAAATATTGCAACCAAGTGCATATAAAAGTTGCATTGACTATACTGTGGTCTGTATACAATAGCATGATGTCACATAAAATGCCATACCTTAACTTAAGGTTTTACTTTGTTAAAAACTGCTAATCATCTTCTGGGCCTTTAGCAAGTCATAATCTTTTTGCTGGTGAAGAGTCTTGCTTTGGTGGTGATGGCTGTCAACAGGTCATAGATCATCCTAACAGATAAAATAATAGTGAAAATTTTGAAGTATTATGAAAACTACCCATATATGTCACAGAGACATACAGTGAGCAATTGCTGTTGGAAAAATGGTGCCAACAGATTTGCGCAATGCAGTGTGGCCATAAGCCTCCAATTCAAACAAAAAGTACATGTCTGTGAAGTGCATCAAAGCAAAGCGCAATGAAGGAAGGGGTGCCAGGTGTGCCTGTGCTTAGCCTCACACCTTGTTAGTGGAATGCAGGCTTCAGCGCAGGTACTTCACCTTCTATACCTGAGTCCACCCCATGTACCACCAGGAATAAATTATCTACTGTGCTTCATCACCTACACTATGCGAAATGGATAACGTAATGACAAGCAATTTGATAATATCAAGCTAAGCAAGGCACAAGTCAGCCAAACTTGCAAATCAAGTCTATATGAACATTTCCTTCCTCCCTAGACAACCTCCCTTCAGGAAATTGCTAGTTTTGGTAAACAAATTGGAGAACGTGATTTCTTAGCAGTCATGGAAACACTGATAGAGGAAACTGCCACAAAGGGAGGTGAGAAACATAAACGACAAAAACAGTGCCAAGTTTGTTTGCTGGAACGATGTGAAGAAAATTTCAATCAGGATACAAAGCCCTCAAATTCCCTGTCAGAAATGCATGCGCCCACAATGTAAAATAAAACAAAATTCAGGACCCAAGTGCTAATTCATGTTCTGTGCAGCTCATGTACCCCAAGGCCCCCAAACCTGCCCGTTCTAAATAGGTTCTGCCATCCACCGCATCAAGGCAAAACATGTAAGACTGTTAATGGAAAGAAACTTTACTACAATGAGCGTGCAATACAGAAAAGATGAAGAATACAGTTTTTAAACACCCAAAGTCACCCAACCCCGTGGGTAAAAATCTACCCAAAAGGGATTGGCTCAAAGCAAGGCCTGAAAGCCCGGCACAAGTCTAAAGCACCTTCTAGTGGGGACCCATAGAAAAGGGTCAGAAATGGCCAGACAAGTCTGAGAGGGAAAGAGCAAAATCAAAATCAAGATAAAAGCTGCCCTTGTTAACCTCCCCACATCTCTCTCTCCCACATCTATTTCATCCAGTCCAGGGCCAAGAAACAAGAGCCGCTTCTTCGCATGTCTCTCTGCTCCATATGCCTCCCTCCAGTCTCCCTCTGACTCTCCATCCTGTTTCTTCCCTCTTCAGTCTCCTCTCCAGATTCTTTTTCTCTCCTCAGCTCCACCCTCTTTGGGTGGGGCAGGAAACCTGGAACCACCCTTTTTCCTGAGGACTACCCTGTTGCAAAGCCTTGAGCCAGATCTGCCTAGAAATGCAGGGAATGGGCCTCCAGGATTCCATGCTGAGTGTGGGAATACTGGAGAGTGGGCCAAAGCGAGTGGAAAGCACTGAAACCCTGCCTAGCCTCAGCTACTCGCTAGTTAAATGACTCTGGAACTTCCTGGAATACTTTAGAACATAATAAGTATAACACAAATTTAAAGAGGTGTTATTGTTAGGGTGTGAATCATGTCCCCCCCAAAAGACACTTGTTGAAGGACTTCAACAAGTCCTATCTCCCAGTTACCTCAGTGTGGCTTTATGTGGAAAGAGAGTCTCTGCAGATGGACCCTGATCCAAGATGGTGTCTATATAAGAGGAGTAGCACCAGACATAACCTTAGAAGTGGACAGAAGCAGAGCTGGGAATAATGTATGTTCTCACTAAGGAACACCAAGATGGCTGGGGTCACCAGGAGCTGGAAGGACACAGAATGCACTGTCCCTCAGGAAAAAAAAATCATGTTGACACCTTGACTTATAGCCTCCAGAGCTATGAGATAAGAGAAAAAAGATTTCTGTTGTTTAAGCCCCTGTTCCCCCATGAGTGATCCTTTGTTACAGCAACACACCAATAGCAACCTTCCATCTCAATATATTTGGGGGAAATTCTCAAGACATGGACCAGGCAAAAATAAATCCTTATTTGCAAAATAGGTGAACAGAATTGTAGGTGAAATCCATAGATCCCTCTAAAACTAACAGCTCTTAATTGGGGGGTGATGGCCCCCACAGGTGACATTTGGCAACGTCTGGAGTTATTTGAGGTTGTCCCCACTGGGTAAGGGGGAGCTCTAATTGGTGGAAATCAGAGATGCTACTCAACCACCTACCTTATACAGAGCACAACCCACTAGGACAAAGAATTGTCTGGCCCTAAATACCAGTAGTGCTGCTGTTGAGAACCCTACTGTTAACTCAGACAGCTCAGTGAATTCTAGAACGATAGAAAAAGAAGTAGAATCAGAAAGTTCTGGGCTCAGATGCTGTCTCTTGCCTCCTACTCTGATAATCTTGTTGAACAAGGCCTTGCCCCCCAGCCCCATTTGATTTCTCAGAATTGTAAAACAGTGATGATTATGTCGCAGGGTTGTTCTAAGGATTAAGTCAAACGCTGAGAGAGGTTTATTTTAAGTAGTCAGCTAAAGCACAAACCAAATACCAGCTACCAAAATAACAAATATACAAAAATGTGCATATTTGGCAGAGGAAAGTAGGGGTGTGTGTGTGTGTGTGTATGTCCGTCCCTGTCCACCGCAGGACCAGAGAAGAAGAGTTGAGTCTCAGGCTCTCCATTACCAATGCCCCCAAGGTTGTTACAGATGCTGGTAGATTGCTTACAGCCTCTCTGTAGCTAAGCTCAAACTGTGAGTGACCCCCAAGTGTAGTCTCTAAATGAGATAAGACATTTGAAATTGTTGGAACTTGCAGGACCTTCCAGGCCGAGTGAGACTCTCCTCCTTGGCCTCCTAAGATCCAATTTCAAGACCAGCTGTGGAGCTGAACCTTGAGGTCCCAACTCATCAGCGTCCCTCTCCTTAACTGCCCAGATATAGCCTCTTAACTTGGTACAGGGCAACTTGACCAAACCAGAAACCCTCCCCACTATGACCAGGGCGTCAAGTTGAATGAAAAAAGCCAAGCACAAACAGGGCATGATGTGTCATTCCAGCCACAGGGACTTCATACACAGACAAGGCCATGGGCCAACAGGGTCAGACTCAGGACACTGGTCACGCTCAGGGGTGGCTGGGTGACTTAGGGTGAAAAGAAAGACACTGGGGGCCATCCAGGGGGCTGGTGGTGCTTCTTGACCTGAGGCGGTTTCAAAGAGGTGTAAATGCTGTTAAAAGCACCTTAGGATATCTGCTTAAAGTATATGACTTCAATTAAAAACAATTTAACTTGAGAATAAAACAACCAACTGCTGAGTCTGTTGTGGGCGGGGCTATGGAAGGGGAGGGGACGTTCTGGATGGGGCGGGGCAAGGTGGGGCGAGGAGGTGTGGGGTGGGGCCTTGCCTAGGGACGGAAGCGCCCTCCGCGAGGCCTTTCCGGTGCGTAGCGCGAACTACAGCTCCCACAATGCCTCGCGCTCCCGTGACTGGCCTTGGTGTCGCGAGAAGCAGCAGCTGGGGGCGGCTGCGCGGACAAACGGAAGTGTAGGTGACGGTCTGAGACATCACCGCCAAGCTGGGAACCGGGGAGATGGCCGAGACAGACCCCAAGACCGTGCAGGATCTCACCTCGGTGGTAAGGGACGGCAGCGCGGGTCCGAGCCTACGTCATTCCCGAACGGCGCCGGCGAAGCCCGCGGACCGAGCTGTCCTCAGGGCGGCCGCGCGGGCGGGGTCTCTGGAGGCCAGCTTTCTAGAGGCTTCGCCCACGGTGCCCAGCCACCCGGGGCCCCGCCCCCGCCGCTGGTATGGGCCCCTCCGCCTGCTGACGCCCCCAGACCCAACCCTGGCGCCACTCACCTGTCCCTAACTCCCCACCCCAGGACCCCGCCTGCTGCTTTCCCATTCGCTCACCCTCAGCTCTCGGCGCACCCCGCCCTCTTGCTTCTCTTCCTGCCCCGGCCTGTCAAAAACCACCAAAAGACCCTCCGAATTTTGAGTCGCAGCCGACCCAAACGACAAGGGGCTTCACCAGCCTAATGTGAAAGATGGGAAACCGCGACGGAGCGAGAGGGGAATCCCTTGCTGAGAGCCTCAAAGCTGCCCAGAAACAGCTGGATCTGGAACCCAGGGTCCGAGCCTCTCAATCTGAAGGCAGGGTTCCTCCCTATACCTGGAAGGTGGCTCAGGCCAAGCACGGGTGGGGGCTTGTTTTATCTTGTTTCCTAGGTGCAGACTCTTCTGCAACAGATGCAGGATAAATTTCAGACCATGTCCGACCAGATCATTGGAAGAAATATCCTTTTTATTTGTAGTCAGCCTGGTTAAGGGCCCTGGGATCCTTTTTCCGGGTAGCAGTGTAGATTAATGTGTTGCAACTTCCAGTCAGACATTTACCAAAGAAAAATTTCTGAGTTTGAATGTGTACTTCGTGTGTGGAGCTGGGGATAAGGCTGAGCTGTACAGGGCTCTGGTGCAAGTAATGTCTACCAGTAATGTCTAATGTGATTGCCTGTGGCTTGTGAGCCTGGGATTTTATGTGTATTTCCATATTGCTGCACCACCATAACTGATGAAAAGATGAAAGTGTTATCTTGATTTTGCAGATGAAGAAATGGAGGTCTAGAGTGGCCGTAAAGGGCAGGAGAGTCTTACCTTCTCAGACACTGACTGGTAGCAGTTTTCATGGGAGACTGGAAAACCTCTCATGGAGACCTTGCATTTAAGGCCTGAGTGGACAAGGCACTGAAGGAAGGGAGGTTGGGAGGGAGGTGGCTGGCAGATGGTGGGGTATGTGTTTGTCATCTTTAACTTCACCACTTGATGATATGAGTAGTCGCATTGACGACTTGGAGAAAAACATCGCAGACCTCATGACACAGGCTGGAGTGGAAGAGCTGGAAGGAGAAAACAAGATACCTGCAGCACAGAAGAGTTGAAGGTGAGGGAGGCACAGTACACTTCCAGGGTATTGCTGTCTTTTTCGTGTGAACTTTCTCCAGATCACTTCCCAGTCACCATCCCAGCAAGCATTCCTTTTATTTTACCTGTGTGGACTCCATGATTTGAAATTTTTCATGCTCAATGAATTCATTGTATAGAATTTGTTTTCCCAGTTCTTTAATTAGACCTATTTAACTCTTAGGTTTTTGTTTTCTGTTTTTGTTTTTTCCCAGTGTTTTTCACTCATTTATAATAGATAACTCAAACACTCACATCCCCACTTTAAAATGCTGTAAATTGTAAGGATTCACTGGGAAGTGCCCACTGCACTAGGTAAATGCCAGGACTTGCTCATTTATGACACAGAACTAGACTGTGGCCTTGAAGCCTGTACCCAGCTGTGACTTCCATTTCCACTACATAGTCTCAGGTGTCAGGGGAAAACTCCTCATCGGAAATACTTGTGAGCGATTTGGAATAGATACCCAGTGCCCATCACAGATGGCTTATTCCCATCACAGTGGGTTTCTTCATTGCACATGTTTTCTCACTTTATTACAAATTTGTAGCATTTTTGAATACTTTCTCAAATCCCAGTTTTAGCATTTTTCCCTATAAAAATTAAGTTTGCTGAGAATTTTTTAGAATGAGAGTTCCAAGCAGAAAAAGCAGCAAAAGGTGGTACATAGCTTTTTTGCTTTCTGGGTTTGTCCTGGCTGGACCAAGTTACAAGTCACTATGAAATAGAGGTTGCTTCGAAGTCCAAGAAAACAAAGAGGTTTGGGAAGTAAAAGACTTAAATTTGCTGTTTACAGTAAATTGGGTTGCTTCCCTGTGTTGTTTTATGTGTGGGCTGTCATCTTTGTTCCCAAATACAGATAATTGGCAAAGTATCCTGCCCATTTTAGATACTTCTCTGAATCTCATATTACAGGCAGTCAAAAATCAGGTCAGTCACACTGTCAGTCAGAGGAGTTCAGGGTTGAAGATTTAAGTGGCAAAGATAATACCAAAAAGGAGTGGGAATCAGAAGTGGATTCAGAAGATTTTGAACAACTATTTCCAGCTAAACCTGTAGTGTTTAGCTATATTATACTTGTGTTTAGCAAAACAAGTAGCGTTTTGCTATATATAATACTGTGCAAAGAAGACAAGTTTAATCCAGTAGAGGAATTCTGAAAGGATTTTTGTTGATGATCCTATGTGTTATTTGCCCTCATATAATGAAAAACTAATTGATGGTTTTTACTCTTTCAACAGGTTGCTAATTTACATTGAAATCAGGAACCCATTTTCACAAGCCAAGAGAACACTGAGTGACTATTTGCAACTAACTTCTATGTGTTGGCAGGTTTTATATTATAAAGTGTACGTTCTTACTGTATACTACACAGGTAGTTTATAGAGTGATTTTTCCCCCCTCTGAGTTTCTTGAACATGATACCTTCACATCTTGGACCTTGGTCAGTTATGCTCTTAAATATTAAACACTAAAACTTTGGCAGTTCCTGCATAAATTGTCAAAATTTTTAGTGTATTTTTGTGAAGTCATTTTTTTTCTATTGTTCCTTTTGTAGTAGTTACTGTTTGATAAAAGTTGCTGTGGAATTTTTTTATTAGACAAAGAGTAGATCCTTGTATTATTAGACTTTGTGAAGTAAGACTTTGTGTGGGATTCTTTAATTCTGCACCCTGAGTGAGTATTGAACTGACCTCAAGTAGTGTTTTGGCAATATTTTTCAAGCGTTTAAAAATATTTCACAATTCTTCAGAAATACCTGGTACTACGCTATTGCCAAAACTCAGAATTTAACCTCTGTTACATCTCTTAATTTCCTGAGTTCAGATGCTGCGTCACAAAGAATCCCCACTGCCATTTAGTGTTAGAATTTTTAAATACAGAAAATAACAGAATTGCCTAATGTAATGAGGCATTCATTAGTTAAAAGTTTTGCATGAAATCAGAATAGTTCCATCGAGCCCTGCATTGTTTACTTATAATACTTACCATAGAAAATCTGGCAGGATTCTAAAACTCAATTATTCCATTCTCTCCTTGAGCTGTGAATTGAGAAAAGAATCAGGAAAGGGAAACATTTTAACTTCTTGCCAGTTGCATGACTAGAAAATGATTAAATGATTTGAAGTAGACTCAAGTTTTTAAGAAAGGTTGTTTATTTAAACTATTTCTTACCTAAATAGGTGCAGAGTAAAGATTGTATTATTGATTAGAGAGGACAGGGATGGTAGCCCTCAGGAGGCCTTGCCTGAGGCGTGTCAGCACAGTGACCTGATGGGACAAGAGCAGGCAAGTGGAGGGCGGGATGAGGACAAAATGTAGTGTTGCAGAGGGGAACGCTTAGTGGACATGATATGTTCCCTTAACCTTTCTGATAGCCAGCCTTGATTGATGTATTGCAAGTATATAATAATAGTAGGAAATAATTCATCTCATAAATTATGTGAGGAACACAAAGGAGTAAGCTTGGTGGAGAATAGAGTGAATTGGCTGCTGTGATTACCAGCCTGCAGAACCTGCTTGGGCCAGTAGGTCTGGGCAGACACAACTGGCCCAGCGCCTCCAACTGACCATAGAAATCTAGGTGCAGGTGTCTTTGAGCACAGTGAATGGCAGGTGGGAACCACCCGCCCACTGCCCAGGAGAAGTAGTAGGCAGTAATGGGAGTTGGCTTCTTAAATAGTGGAAAGATTGCAAAGGGGAGCTCCTGTGCCCCTCAGCCATGAATAAAGGTGCCTGAAACTCTGCTGTTGGAGCTTCCTTTGTGTGGAAAATGATTCCTTTGGTTTTCAGCTAACATTTCAGATTCCTCAGCTAAACCTTGGAGCATACAAATAGCCTAAGGCGAAAAGGGGAAGGAAATAGCAAACAGGCTGCTCAGCGCCTTGGGGAGAGGTGGGGGAGTTGGGCACCAGCTCCAGTGAGTGGAGTGGACTGTCCTCCCCAAGAGGTGGGCCTGTGCCAAGCAGGTTCCCCAGAACGCTCCACCTGGAGAAGCTCCACAAAAGGGCTTGTGGTCCTGACATTGTGAACTCTGCCTTAGTTGTGCTGGAGTCACTCACAGCACAGGCAAATTAGCAGCTTACGGGCTCAAGTTCCAGAGCAGAGAGATATGCTATAACTTATATCATCTGCCAATTTCAAAGTTATTTGACCTAACCTTCAATTTTATACTGAACACTTAGTTACCATTTCACTGAACTAGTGTGGTGTAAAGTCCACACGGAGATAGCAGTTAAAGTCATTCAGTAAATACTTGGTGTTCAGTTTTTAAATCCTGCATAATTGAGTACTCACTTGACCCATCCCAGAATCCTCCAGGCAGAGTTTTAGCCTGGGAAGTAATAGGCTTAAAGACGCTGGTGAGGCCTCCCATTTGTACCAAAGGATGGTTTTCCTGTCGGAAAGGGAAATGGGGTTGCCTGCTTGATCATGGCCAGCCCAGGGCACATGACCGGTTCTCAGAGCCACTGTCTCCTGGCCAGTGTCAGCCTCTCGGGACAGCACAACTTCACTGGAGAATCAGCTGCCTTCCCTCCAGCTGGCACCCCCAGAGCTCCACCCCCCCTCCTGTGATCTCTGTAGGGGGCTGGGCTGTCCAAGTATGTGCAGATCTCGGCATCACCCTGGTCTAGTTCTGGCCAGCACTGTATGTAGGAAGCCAGCTGCTGCCGTAATTCTCCAACTGTTTTCCTGTGTCTGAAAGTTGGTGGAGTGCTTCCTGGGGACTGATAGACCCAGGAGGGGGTTCCTGTCCAGGCTCTTGATTAAATAAACCCCTTTATTCTCCCAAGCCCAGAGGACCACCGGCTTGCTCAGCCCCTAGTTAAGCCTGCCTGCCTTCCCACCACAGGGCTGTAGGATATTGTTAATCTTATTTTCTTATAAATTTTGTTTTTGTGTGGTTTCATTTCCAGTAAAGTACTACCATGTTTGACCCCATCACAACAAACAAAAAATATTTCTGGTAGTTAAAAGGTCAGTTGGCCTTTGTGAGTCATTGGAGTCCTGACCACTTAGAGCTTTTGTTGCTATGGCAACAGAGTCCTCCAAACAATGACTTAAAGGCACTGTATTTTAACATCTTGTTTGTACATGGAAGGTTTTTAAATGGTGATTATCCTCTTTCTTTTCTCTGTTTTCTGTAGTTTATATATTTACAATTAGATTAAAATGGAGAGATTTGCACAATCTTGTCAGATCTGGCTCTGATGGCCGGCACCCACAGGGTGTTTGTCAATACACCTTGGCTGTGCTTGTCACTGCCCTTGTCTTGCTTGATTTTTATGCCACCCAGAGCCAGCTTTGTATCTCCAGGTTTGTATCTCTTCAGTCCAGGGTTGGAAACAGAAGGAGCCCAAGGTTGCCATCAGTGCACTGAGATCACACCACGGGAGACGGACCCTGTGGCCGACGGCATGACTCGGCGCCACAGCTGTGTCTCATCTGCAGGTTTTGAAAGCTAAGATTCCTCTTTTCTGTTTCAAAAATAATTTTATTGAGACATGATTCACATGGATTCCAGTTCATCCGCTTAAAGTGCACAGTGTAATGTGCTTTCTCCACTGTGTAGTTACAGAGCTGTCCATAATTTTCTAATTTAGAACATTATCATTACACCCTAAAAAACAAGCCCACACCTCTTTAGCAGTCAGTCCTGAATCCCACACCCCCTAGTGGTTCCCCCTGCTGTCTGGACAGCCGTAAAAGTGGGAGCACATGCTGCCTTTTGTCGCTGGTCTTTGTCCCTGAATGTCACATCCCCAAGCTGCATCCATGGTGCTGCCGGATGAGCACCACATTCCTCCCTATTTCCAAGTGGCCCAGATGATACTCGTTCCTCGTCGTCCCAGCTGGTGGACATGGAGCGGTGTTGTTCTTTTGGCGAGTCTGAATAACTGGACACCCCATCTATGTCCCCGCTTATCTGGGAGCATCAACCCACCAGCTCAGTGAATCTTAAAATTCAGTTTCAAAAGGCTGATTCTGCATGTGCAATTCAGCACAACCTGAATTAAGACTTAGGCTTGAAGTGACTTCATTCAGAGTGAAAACTGGAGGGCTGGTGAGCAATGTGTGCCCTGGAGCCAGCGGCCTTTACTCCCCACGGGCTGGGTTGAGAACAGCTGCAGAAACAAGTCCAGTTCTGTTTCTCAAATGGCCTGACAGAATCCATCTCCTTGCTCACACCCTCATTACTTCATTCACCCAGGAATCGGCCCTTGGACCCACCTTGGGGAACCAAAGAGCCCGTCCTGGTGTCCGTCTTTACCATCTTAGCAGGCCACTGTGCTTAAAAAGGGCAAAAAAAGACTTGAATACAGAAGTCTTACCAGCTGTCCCCTGAATCTTAGGCTCACCTTAAGTGTCTGCTTTTAGCTGCAGCTTCTTTAAAGTCCTTTTCAATTAATAAAATGATGATGGTTGGGGGGGAATGAAAGGGGCATGAATCATGGCCCCCAAACCACAAAAATGCTGTGATCAAACAGCATATTCATCAACCCACAAAATCCTGGTGGAAATAAGAAATTTGTTGTTTTCTGCCAGTCAGGTTGGCTCTGCTATAAAAATGGATCCCAAGGCCTGGCCCTCACATGCCACCACTCTCACCAAGAGAGGCTTCTGGAGGTTCCTCAAAGGCCTGCCCAGGAATAGATGGGTACCCACAGATGCAGCCCCTCAGCTTCAGCTCCCCAGCCCTAGTGTGCAGTGTGCAAGGTCAGGGCCCCCTCCCGGCCCACTGGCACCCTACCGCAGGCCCCGCAGCCACTCCCTGCTCCTTGGTGGTAATCCTAGTTGTAGCTCAATGTTTCCTACCCCGTGGGCATGCTTCGACCACAAGTGACAAAATGTGCACCTTCCAAAGGGGAACAGTGTTGTTTCCCAGTGGTTAAGAATAACCTAAATTCAGGATCAAGCATTTGGAGACACTGAGCTGCACACAGCAGAACCCACAGCCCCATCAACAAAAGGGCTACGTTATGTGCGGGGGGCAAGCTTTGGGGAGCGGTGGGGGGGAAGCTTCAGCAGCCAGCAAGGGCAAGCCCACACCCGTCCTGGCGCATGCCACAGAAGAGACCACCCCTCTCCCCCTTTTACCAGACGGAAGTGTTCCCTAAGGTGTCCCAGCCCCAATACCCAGGCCTGTGCCTAACACTATCCTGGCAAGATCTCTAATTTGTCACCACAGGGGTGATTCAAAATCAAAGCCAGGGTCCCACTAGAAAGGAAGGGGGACACCTGTGGGGTACACAACCTACCACCGTGGTTCTATGCCTCAAGTGGAGCTTCTAGGTCAGAAGTTCTACCCTAGATAGGGATAGATAAGGAAGGAACTAGCTCTCAACCTGGGCACCCAGCCGTCTCCTGAGGTGCCTGTCAATCCCCAGGCCCCCAGCAGGTGGGCCCCACAGCAAGTCTGGTCTCTGCCCTCCCATGCAGTCCAGGCTGGAGCTGCACTCATGAGGCCCATCTACTGCTACTCATCAGGGACGGAGTTCAGCAAATCAGATGGGATCCCGCCAGCCCCTGCCAGTCAGCTGACACTCGATGTGGACATTGGAGACCAATGCGTTTTATCTGGCGATTGGCTCAATTCACGTGCCACTTTGCTGCCATGACAGGGTAGCGCCCTCACTGCTAAAATAAAAGCACGTCTCACTCCGTGGCAGGGGCATCCTAGGAAGCAGACCAGCCTGGGACAGCCTGGCCTTTCTGGCAGCCTGCGCCTTGCCAGCACCTGCACCCTCTCAGGCACCCTTACCGCTCGCCAATTTTGCAGCTGCAATTTTTCTCTCATCGGCCCTCAAAAGCCCATTCCTCAACCAGACTAGTTTCATTACCTCTTACTTTTGATAGGTGTTTGAAGTTGCCATCCAAACCCAGTGACTTTCCAGAAAGAAACTTTAGTTACTAAATATCTTAAGGTAAAATCCTGTGACAAGGAAGAAAAAACAGTTAATTTTGACAGGCATGCATAGTCCTCAGAAGAGTCATTTCTGGAAATTTAATAATACATTTTTCTGAAAACATAACTGATGGAACCTATTGATTCTGCTCCAGAATCCCCTTGTAGCAACCAATCGGCCTGAATTCTTTGTGAAACAGAAACCTGAGGCTGGCCAAGCATGCAAAGTGGGGAAAGCTGCATAATCAGTGTTCTAGAAAGAAATAAGACTTCCACTTTGGTATATGTGAACAAAACTCAGGAGTCCGCTAGGGCCTATGGTCCTTGGGCCCATAATCTAGAAACTTAGTCTTATTGTCTTGCCAGCAGAATTTTTAAAAGGCTTCCAGGCACCATAGGTCAATGCCAGGGTCAAAGTCCTCATCACCACACTGGACCTTCAATCAGAATCCTTCCAAAGGCTGCCAGACACACAGAAGGGAAATACGGTAAGAACCTCTCACCTCCCCCAACACTACCCCCATGGGTCAGCCTCACTTTCTAAAGTCCATGCACTGCCTAGCAATGATCTTTGACCCAACTTTGTCTCCCCTATAATGAAAAGCAGGACCCCAAAGAACCTGCTGGCACAGCCAAGGTAGGCTTTGCAAAATCACAGAAAACTCTCACTGTGAACTCTGCCTGACATTTCTTGGGTTTATCCACACTAACCTGTACTTCAGGGCAATCTGGACAAGACTTGTGAGTAATGATTTAACAGTTAATATTTGGCAAGTTCTGAACTAAAGAATCTCTTTGTGTACTCACTAATAAGCAACTAACTGGATAAGAATTCTTTAA